TACAGCTACAGCTACAGCTACAGCTACAGCTACAGCTAGAGAAGCTATCTAGCTCTGGCTCTAAATCTAGATCTAAATCTAGATCCTAGTACTACTACTACCATTAGCTACAGCTCTAGTTCTAGGTCTAAGTCTAACCTGGGGCTGGACAAGCTGGAGGTGAGGCTGGACAAGCTGGAGGTGAGGCTAGACAAGCTAGAGCTGGGGCTGGACAAGGTGGAGCTGGAGGTATGTTGCTTATGATATTGCCAATGATATTGCTAATGATATTGCTAATATTGCTATTGCTGATAAAGATGCTAATATCTATTAGTACAACTGCACCACAGCTAGAAAAACAGCTTGGAATGAAGCTAGCTATATGAGATCATAAAGCTAAAGCACAGCTAAAGATTCTAGTAGTATATACTAGTTATAAAGCAACTATAACTAGAATATACATAAATATAATTTGAATTCAAGTACGAATATTTTATATTCACACGCAAAGTACTGGAACGGATACGATACGTACGAGGATCATAAGAGGTCGATGTCACGAGTTCCGAATAGTAAGAACTCCGTGTAGACTGAGTACCAGATCTACACAAGGAGCTAATCGGAACTTCGGAAATCTCACGTCAAGGTCCGATAATCTTAATCTTAGGAATAGCAATACTAGGAATAGCAATAGGAATACAGCTAGCAGTAGTACTACCAATATGAAAAACCATATAATTAGTACTAGTAGCAGAAAATGTAATACTAGTAGTTGTTGTAATTTCAGTACTAGATCTACTACTGCTAAACTACTACTAGTATTTCATTTTCTCAAACCATTACAATTTTCCATATAGTTGTACTACTACTATACTACTACTACTACTATATGAAAAACAGAAGTAGTAGCAGAATAAGTAATACTAGTAGTTGTTGTAATTTCAGTACTAGATCTACTTTTGCAAAAGTACTAGAATTTCTTTTTCTCAAWCTATTTCAATTATTCACACAGTTGTAGTAATAGATATCAGCATAGATCTAGACCTGGGGCTAGACAAGCTGGAGCTGGACAAGCTGGGTCTGGGGCTAACACTACAGCTAGCACACAGCTAGCTTTATCTTTACAGCTAGCTTCACAGCAGCTAGCTTCACAGCTAGCTTTAGCTTCACAGCTAGCTTTAGCTTCACAGCTACTAGTAGCTTCACAGCTACCTTTATCTTTACAGCTAGCTTCACAGCTACCTTTACACCTAGCTTTACACCTAGCTTTACACCTAGCTTAGCTTCACAGCTAGCTTTAGCTGGAGCATAGTACTATATGTGAAAAATAGAAATAGTATGAGAAAAAGAAGTAATAGTACTCCAGCAGTAGTATATTTAGTACTGAAATTACAACAACAACTGGTATCACTTTTTCTTCTTCTACTTCTGTTTTTCATGAAGTAGTAGTACTACTGATACTGATAATGACTAGCTAGAGCTAGAGCTAAAGCTAAAGCTGTTTCCAGTGTGTTAGAGCTACTAGTTCTTGAATATTAATAGTTCTGCTAGTACTTATTGCTGAAGATATAGTAGCTAGTAATTCTATTGCTAATGGTAGAGCTATTGCTGGAGCTAAGACTAAAGCTAGAGCTATGACTGAGYTAATGATAAAGATAATGAAAGTTAAAGCTAGAGCTAGAGCTAGAGCTATATTACAGTATTGCTATTACAGTATAGTGCATCTATGTGGAAAATAGAAATAGTATTAGAACTAGAGCTAAAGCTAGAACTAGTAAAGCTAGAGCTAGGGCTGCTACAGTTAGTGCTGGTAGAGCTATTTTGCTAATGATATTGCAAATGATATTGCTACTAGTATTACAGTATAGTATAACTATGTGAAAAATTGAAATAGTATAAGAAAGAGAAGTAGTAGTACAAAACCAATAGTAGAACTACTACTGAGATTGTAAGAAGTACTAATACATATTTTTCTGTTACTACTTCTGTTTTTCATATAGTAGTAGTAGTAGTACAACTATGTGAAAAATTGAAATAGTTTAAGAAAAAGAAGTTGTAGTAGTTCAGCAGAAGTAGTTCTAGTACTGAAATTACAACAACTACTATTATTACTTTTTCTGCTACTACTTCTGTTTTTCATATAGTAGTAGCAGTATAGTAGTAGTACAAATATATGCAAAATTGAAATAGTTTGAGAAAATGAAATACTAGTAGTTTACCAATAGTAGATCTACTACTGAAATTCCAACAACAACTACTACTAGTATTACATTTTCTGCTACTATTTCTGTTTTTCATATAGTAATAGTACTAATAGTAGTACTAAGCTTGTCCAGCCCCAGCTCAAGCTTGTCCAGCTCCAGCTTGTCCAGCCCCAGCTCA